TAACTGATATCAAGATAAACTTCACAATGCACCAACAATCTTCCTCCCTGCCAGAAAACATACAACCACCGACTTCAGCAGCCACCCCCAACCATGGAAGTCTGAGCATATCCCAGGACACCCACCCTGTTCTTTCTTCCAATCTTGATCCTCCCAATGAAGAGTCAAAGTATACGCCTGGGCTTTGGTCATCCGGAGGCAGCACAACGGTCTCCCTCTCTAGCAATCAAATTGCAGAAAGCACAACAGTTGGCTCGGTTCTCAGCCGCCACTTTCGAGCCAATATAGACACTAAGCATACTGATATAGTCCTCATAATATGTGGATTCGTTGGTGGCCTGGTTGATGGGTTGTCATTCAATGCATGGGGAAGCTTTTCGAGTATGCAAACAGGTGAGTCACCTCTAATTCCAAATACTTATGCACTACTCGAGGGAATGGTTCTAATAACATGGGTAGGGAACACTGTTTTCCTAGCTTTAGGGCCTTCCGGCCAGCCTGCTTATCCGGCATACCTCTGGGCCAAGTCTCTCATCGCTCTCAGCGTTTTTATTGCGAGCAATGTTTTCTTCATTCGCCTCCATCGGATACTAAGCCCACGGCGCCGCTCAACAATGATTGTCTCGTTCACCATTCAGACTTTGGCTCTCCTGGTGACAGCAATCTTAATTCAGCTTGGTATTATTTCCCCAAAGCCGGAAGACCCTCGTGCCCCCATTGAATGGATGCAAGTTCTCCCGATTTCCCTTTTATCTTTCCAAGCTGGAGGACAGATATGCGCCTCCCGCATTCTTGCACTAGATGAGATCCCAACAGTGGTATTGACAACGCTTTTATGCGACTTACTTGTCGACCCAAAGCTTACCGCAAAATTCAACCCGAAGCGGAATCGAAGAATAGGGGCTTTTCTAGCTTTATTTCTTGGTGCAATGACTGCAGGCGGTCTTTCAAAAGTCACCGGTATGGCTTCAAGTATATGGTTTGCCATGGGTTTGAAGCTAGCAATCACATTGGGATGGGTTGTTTGGAAGCCAGAGGGAAGGATGAAGAGAAACATGGATGTTTGATTCGTGTTCGCAGATCGCTTTGTTTGATAGCGGAGTGGTTTTTTGTTTTTGAGCGATTCATATTAATACCCTGACATCAAATAGCGGGACTTCAAGCCTCGCGCTACTATATCATTACTTTTCTCTTAGCATTCTTCTAGTTTTAGTCGCAAATTTGATCAAATATTCGGTTTAGGACTAAGGGTATCAAACAGGGTGCCGGTGAGAGGCGAAGAGACAAAAACATCCTGTCAGCTTCTGGCTCAAAATATCGTTCTCTGAAGAAAGTGTATCAATTCTAGTACAGTATCCGACCAATTGTAGATATCAAAGACTCTGTATTGCATTACCCCTATTTCCCGCTATTTATGGGGCCATTTCTAATTACATGGACTGTATACCCGAAGCCATTCGGATCATCTATAGACCCGGTTTCATGCAGTATTAGTAAGATAATTGCGACACTTGAAATTTGCCTGAGATCTCAGGCTGCAATTTGCTCCGCCAGTTTGTCTTGCCGTCCTGAAGCTAGAAGATGTGTGAATGCAGATCATATTTCAGATTCGGCAACAAAAACTTCTTGAACACGCTTACAACAGTGTCATCTTAGCAAATCGAGCTATGGAAATCTCTTTCACTTGAGTAAAGTTTCCATCGCGCAGTCAACAGGTGCTGGCTAGATATATGATATGGATGACAGAGATTGAAGCGAAGGAACTTAGTATATTGTTTTTTTTTTCTAATCCTTCTCAAGTCTATCTAGAAATGTAATAAATATGTCTATAAAACCTGTTTCTAATAATGCTCTAATTTCACTTCCTGTCGTCTGCCAATACAAAATGCAAGACGCCGGGCTGTCCACTCCCCTGCCTCTTTTCTGATACATAAATGCACTTTCGGAAGGTCACCATCAACGAGTATAAGAAGCTTTCCTCTTTCTCTTCATGGTAATTCTCCCCCAACAGAGGCTGGATTGCCTTGGTAGCCTGTTCCGCTTTGTAAAAGGGAATACGACTAAAGAGGTGATGAACCACATGATAATCAATGATTTCGTGGAAGAAATGACGACCAATGAAACCTGTCGTGCGATCAATTGTCGCCAGTGCACCTTTCGTATAGGTCCAAGCTTCTGCGGTATAGTGTGGAACGGCGGGATGGGTATGTTGAAGATATGTGATGGCAACTGTGAATCAAGTCAGCCTTTGTTTCCTTTGTACTTAGTCCGGTGGGGTTGTATAATAGCAGTAGAAGCCGAAGACATACTCAGCCAGTGGTGTACCCAAAGATATGGAATGATGTACAGGAGTACGACATTCCACGTCCCAATAATAGATGCCGTGTAACATAAGATAGAGCCCATGATCATCAGTCCTAGATCGGACAATGCAATATACTTCCACTGAAAGGGCGCAAAGAGTGCACTCGAGGGATTATAGTGGCTCGCAAATTCGATCTTGTCTTTACCATCAGGCCCGCTCTTTGTACCAGCGGTCACATTCAAGAAAAGATAGAGCTGCCATCCCATCAACTGGTGTCCGATAAGCTGCATGAAAGAGACGATCGGGGTTTCCTCTGCAAGGTGCTTCAATTTCTCGATCTGAACGTTCTTCTTTGTCGCAAGGTCTTTGTCTGTCCAGGGAACAAAAACGGTGTCCTTTTCCATATGACCGGTATAACGATGATGCCGAGCATGGGTAATCTTCCATGAATAGTAAGGAACCATGAGGAATGAATGTGTAGCCCACCCAATGAAATCATTGAGACCCTGATACCGCGAGAAGGCGCCATGGCCGCATTCGTGAGCCAGAATCCATAGCCCCGTTCCAACACAGCCCTGGAAGAACCCATAGGTAACCCAGGCAATGATTCGAAGAGGCAAAGAAGGGATAAAATGGATGAATGAGGCGGCATAAATGAGTGTCACGCAGTAGACGATGTCTCGGGCCAGGTACAGAAGAGAGGTGGGAAGAGATGATTCAAAGCACTCTTTCGGGATTGCATCTTTGAGGGATTTTAAGCTTGGGACGTTCTGTAGTCAGACAATTAAGATGTTAGCCAATGCAAGCGAGACAACCTGGGCACTGTTAAAAGACAAGCAGTGCTACGTACCTCATCTGCCTGCTTGGCAGGTTGAGTGTTCAGGTCAGACATTTTGAAAATGGAGTACAAAATAGCATCGAGGAAGCTACCAGCTACCAGAAGGGAATCTGTTTGACTTTGTAGTCGGCCTTTTTCCCTTTTTTTTCCCTTTTTTTTTTTTTTTT